GCATAGTACGAGTAATTAAGGAAACGTTTGAGAAGAGGCAGTATTGTTCAGGCGTCTTTCTAGACATAACCCAAGCCTTTGACAAAGTTTGGCACGAAGGATTGTTCTGGAAACTTGAGAAACAATTACCATACAATATATCCTCAGTTATCAAAAACTACCTCTCAAATAGAAGATTTGTTATAAAACAAAATTCTTTTGTCTCCAATGCCTTCCCCATTATGGCCGGTGTACCCCAAGGTAGTGTTCTGGGCCCCTTGCTGTACCTGATTTTCACAGCAGACATGCCAACCAGTGACTGTACAACAACATCAACATTTGCGGATGACACTGCCATTCTCAGCCATAGTGACGACCCATTCACAGCCACAAAATCAGTTCAAGACCACCTCAACAAACTGCAAAAATGGCTCGATCTCTGGAGAATAAAAGTTAACGAATCGAAAAGTGTACACATAACCTTCACTCTACGACGAGATACCTGCCCTGCCCTTCGTATTAATGGAAAAGTAATACCACAATGCAATGACACCAAATACTTAGGAATGCACCTCGACCGAAGGGTTACGTGGAAAAAGCATATAGAAACCAAAGTAACTCAAATTAAACTCAAACAACAAGAACTAAACTGGCTGATAAATAAAAATTCTAAACTTAATCTCACCTATAAAGTGCAACTTTACAACACAATGATGAAACCCATATGGACCTACGGAATTGAACTCTGGAGCTCTGCTTCTCCATCAAACATTGAAAAACTTCAAAGAACTCAATAAAAAATCCTCCGGCAAATAGTCGGTGCCCCCTGGTATATAAAAAACGCAGCGAAAATTTATTGTTAGTTCTAAGTTGATTTTTAGAAGATTCAATAAAAATCAAAATAAAATTTAAAAAAAAAAAAAAAAAAAGGTGCTCAGTTGTACAAGTCATTCTTCATAACAGTATTTAGTTTTCTTGGTTGCTGGGTCCTTTCTGAAATTCCTGAAAATGATATAAATTTCTACATCACTCTGAAACTATCAGTCAAAGAAGATTTTATGGAATGTAATGGAAACTTAAATACCATCATAAATCCCTTAAATACCATTTAAAACACACGATTTCCAACTTCGCCATCTTTAGGTTTCTGGTTTATTATCCTTAAACTTAAATACCATCATAAATCCCTCAAATACCATTTAAAACACACGATTTCCAACTTCGCCACCTTTAGGTTTCTGGTTTATTATCCTTAAACCACTTGTTTATTAATTACTTGCATTATTATTATTTACTTATTATCAGCTTTATTATCTTTTTTGTAATCATTTGCGCGGTAATTTTTTTTAAATTTAATGCAGTGCAATCCTGTTTTTTTGTCAAGAAATCAAAACATATTGGATACTTGCCTATAGATGGTAAAGTTGGAAATAATCGTACGTTTTGAGATGGTATTTGTGGAATTTCTGAGAGTGTATATGTTATTTTGTGTCGTGCTCATTTAAGTTTCCATTCTATATAAAATCTTCTTTGAAAGATATTCTCCGATATTTCTCTGATGGCAAATAGGTCCCACAATTTAGAACTACAATTAAAATTACTCATATCGCACGTGAGGGAAAAACACCGTCATCATATTTAGCTGCAAAACAAATAGAAAATGTTTATCAGGATCGTAAATTAGCTTGTGATGGTGACTGCATTTCAACTACTAAATGTAATACCCAAAGTAACTCTGGTTTCATTCATGGAAATATCCTCAAATTTGAACAAAACATTAATAAATTGTCAACCTTGCAATTACATGTAATTGACCACATATAATTTGGCTATAAACACATGTATTTGTGTTATAAAAAAAGCTGATAGCTTTAAAATACACTCTGCAGAACTTTTTTTATCACTCTCTAATTAACAGAGGATACGTAAGAATAAAGGATATGTTATCTATTAATACACACATAATGTTGACGAATCAACAAAAAATTAAGAACTAGGTCATGAGTTAATCGCTCACACCTGTTGCTTAATTTCTTGGTTGACGAATCAACAAAAAGTAAAAATTAGGTCATAAGTAAAGCATTCGCAACTATTGCTTATTAAGCAATTTGTGCGAATTAAGCAATAAGTTATTTTATTTATTGTATGTTTTGCAATTACGGTTGCATTTTATTTTGTATAAAAGAACAAATCAATTTAAATAAAATCAGTTGTTGAAAGTAAATCAACGTCTCACCAATCTTTTATTGTTTCCCCCCACCAGTGGTAAGGGACATAAAGATTGTTAATGAACATTCTTGTTCATTTTTGGTCCTTCGAGCCGGATATTTGAAATTTCCCCCACCAGTGGTAAGAGTTTCAAATATACCTAACAAAGAGACTTAAGTCTAAGATTGAAGTTAATACAAGCGTACCGAGGCTTTTAACACGGTTACCGAGGTTTTTAACATCTGAGTGAAGTTAATACAAGCGTACCGAGGCTTTTAATATCGGAGTGAAGTTAATACAAGCGTACCGAGGCTTTTAACATCGGAGTGAAGTTAATACAAGCGTACCGAGGCTTTTAACATCGGAGTGTAGTTAATACAAGCGTACCGAGGCTTTTAACATCGGAGTGAAGTTAATACAAGCGTACTGAGGCTTTTAACATCGGAGTGAAGTTAATACAAGCGTACCGAGGCTTTTAACATCGGAGTGAAGTGAATGCAAACGTACCATCGAAGTGAAACAAGCAGAAGCGTACCAAGGCGCTCAACAAATCAAATCAAATACTAACAGAGGACATCATGGAGATCGAAGAGATAGATCAAGTTATCCAACATCAAAAGGACATTGAAGGTGAGATCCAGAGGATCTGGATAAATTTTAAAAAGGATTCTTCTACAAGATATTCAAAGCAGTATTTTGAGACACGTTTGGAAAATTTGCGTCAGAAATGGGACGCATTTGAAGACAACAATGATAATCTGATCAAGAATTTGAAGCCTGATCATGAATATATCACAAAAAATTACTATGGCCAGTTACAACAAAGACGGAATGAAATAGAAAATCGATTTAATAATGAATTGGAAATAATAAGGCAAATGGAGCAAAAGGAAGCTCAAGTATCAAGGCATCAAGTTATAAGAGGGCAAGAAGAAGCTCTGTCACTAAGGAATCAAGACATAAGTATCAATGACGAAGTCACCATCACCGGGCCATGTGATATTACGAACAAACGTTTAGCAATCTTAAGTACAAGTCTGTTGCAGATCAAAGAGACAATAGACTTAACGAAAAGTATTGAAACGTTACAGTTCAAATTGGAGAAATTGAAGAATTGTTGGGCAAAGATCTCACAATTAAACGATGAATCTCTGTTTAACAATGATGAAATAGACCAAGGAGATTTCATTCAACTGGAATCGATATACGAAGAAGTATATATCCAGTTACAAGAAGAACTGAACGTTCGCAGTCAAAACGTTTCAGAAACTAGAACAACCGTAAGTAACAATATCAAACTACCACCGTTGAATGTACCAATATTCAATGGCAGATTTGAAGAGTGGTGTCCATTTTAGGAATTGTTCGACCGGTTAGTTCAACAAAGCCATAATCTAGTGGATGTAGAAAGAATGCAGTACTTAAAAGGAAGTCTACGGGGAGAAGCCGCCAGACTTATCAATCATTTAACAATAACAGCGAACAATTATACAGCGGCAGTTGAACTACTGAAACAAAGATACAACAATCCAGCAATACTTGTGGACAATCTTATCAATAAGTTATTGTCGCTCAGAGCTATAAGAAACGAGAATGCACAGGATTTAAAAACAGTAGTGGATTCTTCTAGAGAAGTGTTATATGGTATACGTAATTTAAATGTGGACACGTCAAGTTGGGATCCACTAATAATACAGATACTGCTTCCAAAATTAGATGGTGAAACCAGAAAATTATACCAACATTCAAGAGGGGCATCAACACAAATACCAAAATTGAGCAGCTTATACGAGTTTATCGAGAGCAGAGTTAGAGGATTGGAGGCAATTCGAGACACAAATCGCGAAAATAAGAATAATTTTCGACCAACAGCAGTAAATACAAAAACGCATGTAAATACAATACATACGCTATGTTTAGTGTGTAATGGTGACCACCAATTAATTCGATGGTCAAAGTTTCTGAATATGAAGGTGCCGGAACGTCGTGAAAAGATTATGAGCACCAAATTATGTTTTAATTGCCTTCAGAGTGGGCATTTTAGTAAGTTGTGCTTGAATAAAAAAAGATGTGCAATTTGCGACAAAAAACACCATCAACTTATTCATGAACAAGTTAAGGGCAAACCAACATTCACAAATAACATAAGTAAACAGAGGATGCCAACATTGAAGAACACCACAGAGACCGAAGTGGCAGCGTCGTACAACATCCAAAAGGAAAAAACTGTTTTACTAGCAACAGCAATGGTAATTATAAGGACTAAAAAACAAGTTAATCCGATACGAGCTTCTTGATCAAGGATCACAATCTTGTATAATAACAGAACAATTAGCAAGATCAATCAGAGCACCATTGACCAATTATCAAACTCATGTAAAAGGTATCAATGGACAAACAACAAGCGTTATAGCCAAATGTTCATTAGAAATTCAATCTATACATGATGAAAATAAGAGCTGTCATATCGAAGCAATAGTGTTACCAAAAATCACATCAAAAATGCCAAATGCAGAATTCACGCCAGGAAAATGGTCGCATATTGCAGTTAGCAGATCCTTGGTATGCTGAACCAAAGGAAATACAATGTACAAATACAATACAAAGTAGAAGAAAGGCATTGTGAGCGACATTATGATTCAACTTGCACCCACGATAAAACAGGACGATACATCATTAGGTTACCACTGAAAAATGATCGAAAAACGTTAGGTGAATCCAGAAAGATGGCATTAAAACGGTTCTTTTCATTGGAAAAACGATTTAAGAAGAATCCAGCACTAAAGCAAGAGTATGTGAACTTTATGCGAGAGTATATCAAGCTGGGTCACATGAAGGAAGTTAATGAGAAACCAAAGACAAAGGTATATTATTTGCCGAATTATGCAGTTATTAAAGAAGACAGCACGACAACAACACTTCGAGTGGTGTTTGATGCGTCCGCAAAAACGACATCAGGACAATCACTGAACAGTATTATGATGACAGGTCCTACATTACAAAAGGATTTATTCATTCTATTATTGCAGTGGAGAATGTTTAAAATAGTTTTTACGGCTGACATTGAAAAAATGTATCGGCAAATACTGATTCATCATGATGATAGAGATCTTCAACGAATTTTATGGAGAAACGATCAGAAAAAACCAATAAAAGAATACAAATTGAACACGATTACATATGGTACTGTATCAGCACCATATCTTGCCATCAAGACGTTGTTTAAGCTAGCAGAAGACGAGAGAATTAATTATCCTTTGGCAAGTGAAACCTTAAATGAAAAATTTTATGTAGACGATTGTTTGGGAGGCGCTAATACGATTAAAGAGTGTAAACAAGTACAAGAAGAATTAATCCAATTATTGCGGAAGGGAGGTTTTAATTTAAGAAAATGGGCATCAAACGAACCCGAAATGTTGACGAATATCCAGATAAAAGACATTGAACCAGGGTTAGAGATGCAATTTAACAACGACCAAGCAATTAAAATTTTAGGAATAAAATGGTGTCCTAAATTGGATCAGTTTGAATTTAAAATAAATACCACGTCATTCAGCTCAAAATACACAAAAAGAGCAATTTTAAGTGATGCTGGAAAACTATTCGATCCATTTGGTTGGTTGTCACCTGTAACCATTAAAGCAAAAATTATGATACAAAAATTGTGGATGCTAGGAATTAGTTGGGATACAAAGATCCCACCCAATCTACAGACACAATGGGAAGAATTTAAATTGAGATTACCTGCAGTTCAGAAAATAACCATGAAAAGATGGACACCACATTCAGAGAATAGTTTAATCGAGTTACATGGTTTTGCAGATGCGTCAGAAGCAGGATATGCTGCAGTTGTATATACAAAGGTTATAAATGCAGAAAAGGTTACAATATCCCTAGTAGCATCAAAAACCAAAGTTGCGCCTATTAAGCAGGTATTATTAGCCCGATTGGAGTTATGCGCAGCTGTGTTATTGATAAAGTTGATTAATTACATTCAGAAGAATAAAAAGATTACCTATAGTAAAGTTATTGCATGGTCAGATTCAAAAATTGTATTAAATTGGCTAAGGCAATACCCAAATAGATGGACTACGTTTGTAGCAAACAGAGTATCGTATGTTCAGGATACGTTTAAAGGGCAATTTAGATTTGTTCCAGGAAAAGATAATCCAGCAGATATTCCATCAAGGGGAGTATATGGTGACAATCTTATTTCAAATACATTATGGTGGCATGGTCCAAATTGGCTAATAAAAGATGAATGAAATTGGCCAGAAAATGATGAAGTAATAGATTTGAATCTTATTCCGGAAACCAGAAAAACTGCAATATGTACCGTCGTGGACATTACCAAAGATGAAAATATTATTAATCGATTTTCTTCATTAAACAAACTTCTTCGAGTGACAGCTTATTGTCTTAGATTCGTTTACAATTGTCATAAAAAGAAATCCGAAAGAAAGATCGACATTCTGTCGGCAGACAATATCGATGCAGCAGAAATTGTGTTGGTGAAGCAGGCACAAAAATGTTTTTCAGATGACATCAGACGGCTTAATCTTCAGAAACAATTAATGAAAAGTAATAAGTTGTGTTCATTAAACCCATTTGTTGACAGTGCAGGAGTACTAAGAGTGGGCAGCAGATTAAGAAATGCAGATTTACCTGACAACCAAAAGTATCTTATAATTTTACATACAACTAGTACTTTGGCCAAACTCATAATCAATCAGGCGCATATTAATACGATTCATGGAGGATTAAAACTGACGCTAAATTACGTTCGGGAAAAATTTTGGATTATTCGTGGAACAATCGCTGTGAAAGCTTGCATCAATAAATGTTTAAAATGTTTTCGAATAAAGACAAAAGGACAATCTCAATTAATGGGAAGTTTAAAAACACCAAGAGCAAATTTCTCGAGGCCATTCACACACTGCGGCAAAGACTATGCAGGGCCATTACACATTAAATGCTCGCAATTCAGGGGAATTAAAACACATAAGGCGTATATAGCTATTTTTGTATGTCTGGCAACAAAGGCAATTCACATTGAGTTAACTTCAGATCTGACATCTCAAGGATTTTTAGCAGCACTCAAACGAATGATAAGCAGACGTGGCTCAGTACATCATATTTATAGCAACAATGGTACCAATTTTACAGGTGCAAACAACATTTTACAGAAGATTCAAATAGAGAATCATCTAGCTGAAACAGGTATACGTTGGCATTTCATCCCTCCTGGCTCACCTCACTTTGGTGGTCTCTGGGAATCGGGAGTAAAATCCATTAAATATCATCTAGCTAGAATTATAGGTGACCAAAAATTGACATACGAAGAATTAAGTACGGTCTTAATTCAAATCGAATGTTGTCTTAATTCACGGCCACTCTGTCCATTAACAGACAACATTGAAGATCTTAATGCACTTACACCAGGACATTTCATTGTGGGATCGTCATTAATGACTCCAGCGCATGATAGTCTTATTAACTTTACAGAAACTAGCCTAAAAAGATGGAAGATTGTGCAGAAAATAAAGCAAGACTTTTGTAAACGGTGGTTCCAAGACAATATAAGAAATATTCAACAACAGAGATACAAATGGACAAAATCCATACCAAACTTAGAAGTTGGTCAACTAGTCCTATTGAAAGACGAAACATTAATAGCATCGACGTGGCCTCTAGGCAGAGTTATAGAAGTTCATAAAGGAACAGATGGCTTAATCCGAGTTGCTACAATTAAAACCCAAAAGGGGATAGTAAAACGTACAATCCAAAAAATATGTCTTCTACCAATCACTGATAATGTAAAAGAAGGTCATATTCCGTCAAACCAGGAGAAGTTCCCAAAATTATTTAAAGAAGCAACATTAATCAAAGCAAAATCAGACACTCAAAATATGTTACCATTTGGAAACACTATCAGAAATAAAGAAATAGTTTCGACAAAGTCTACTGCAGGAGATCCTAAAACGCGACGACAATGGTTATCGGCTAAGCAATCAAAATCGACAGTTCTTGCTATATTTTTGGCATATCTCACATTAGGAACTACATTAGCAACACCCACTATAACATATCAGGATTCAGGACGAATCAGGATTATTCATTGAAGGATTAGGCAAAGCAAAAATACAAAGAGGAACACTTAGAACCACTATCACATTTCCAATCCGTGACATAATTCAAGATCAAAGGAACGTTAATAACACCATAAAACAATTAACAATGTTGTGTACCAAGTCAAAGGCTGTCAATCCTTATATACAATGTGACGATTTAGTTTCCAATTTAAGTCATGAAGGGCGCACCTTAAGAACAACCATTGATTGATTGTTGACGGCAGAATCATCAGTTACAAGAAGTCCCCGAGGAATATTAGGTACAGTGTTAACAACACTTTTTGGTGTAAACGATGAAGTGTATCACGACATTGAAACGCTAGATCAAAATCAGAAATTATTGATCCAAAATACTAAATCAAATGCTAGAATCATGATATCCACAATAGCGGCAGTAAACAACACAGAAACTAAAATCATCAACAAAATCAACAGCTTTAGTAAAAGACTAAACGAAGGATTGCAGGCTATCAGTCAGATGCAAGGTTGGCATGATATCGGAGAAGGAAATAAACTGAATATATATGTACTTAATTCATATATAATGGCATTCAATTACATTCGAGAAGTAGAATCAAAATATAATAAGATCTTCAATGTATATTTAAAACGCAGTCATATTTATGAATTCCTTTCGCATGATGAAATCAATGATATTATAACTCGATGTTCTTCAAAAATTGGACCAGAAATGTATGTCTTCTTTCTTATCTGGAAGGAAGAATGATGAAAGAATTTCAATCAATCACACACCACGTTAAACCAATCAGCATGCAAAACATTTCAATACCTGACAGTAGAATGCATAAAATTACAAATGAAACCGTTATCCCATTGGTGCAAGATTTATCAACTATGCTTTTGTACTCCGCAAGGGATGCTCAAGACAACATGGACCAAGTCAACGAAATATCTTGGAAAACAATAATGACTCATCAATATTGGAAGAAATGGGTCATCGGGGCTACAGCTATAATAATAATCATATTCGCTGGAGTATTATGTTACATGTGTTACATTAAACCGAGAATATCATCAACATCAGCCAATAATCATACATCACCGTCCACTTACGATGTCGCTTTGTCTTGCACATAAACAACAACCTGCTGAGGCTAACAAATCTAGACCAACACGTAATACCAACGCAGAGCCGGCATAATGTTGACGAATCAACAAAAAATTAAGAACTAGGTCATGAGTTAGTCGCTCACACCTGTTGCTTAATTTCTTGGTTGACGAATCAACAAAAAGTAAAAATTAGGTCATAAGTAAAGCATTCGCAACTATTGCTTATTAAGCAATTTGTGCGAATTAAGTAATAAGCTATTTTATTTATTGTATGTTTTGCAATTACGGTTGCATTTTATTTTGTATAAAAGAACAAATCAATTTAAATAAAATCAGTTGTTGAAAGTAAATCAACGTCTCACCAATCTTTTATTGCTTCCCCCACCAGTGGTAAGGTATATAAAGATTGTTAATGAACATTTTTGTTCATTTTTGGTCCTTCGAGCCGGATTTTTGAAATTTCCCCCACCAGTGGTAAGAGTTTCAAATATACCTAACAAAGAGACTTAAAGTCTAAGATTGAAGTTAATACAAGCGTACCGAGGCTTTTAACATCGGAGTGAAGTTAATACAAGCGTACCGAGGCTTTTAACATCGGAGTGAAGTTAATACAAGCGTACCGAGGCTCTTAACATCGGAGTGAAGTTAATACAAGCGTACCGAGGCTTTTAACATCGGAGTGAAGTTAATACAAGCGTACCGAGGCTTTTAACATCGGAGTGAAGTGAATGCAAACGTAGCATCGAAGTGAAACAAGCAGAAGCGTACCGAGGCGCTCAACAAATCAAATCAAATACTAACAGAGGACATCATGGAAATCGAAGAGATAGATCAAATTATCCAAAATCAAAAGGACATTGAAGGTGAGATCCAGAGGATCTGGATAAATTTTAAAAAGGATTCTTCTACAAGATATTCAAAGCAGTATTTTGAGACACGTTTGGAAAATTTGCGTCAGAAATGGGACGCATTTAAAGACAACAATGATAATCTGATCAAGAATTTGAATCCTGATCATGAATATATTACAAAAAATTACTATGGTTAGTTACAACAAAGACGGAATGAAATAGAAAATCGATTTAATAATGAATTGGAAATAATAAGGCAAATGAAGCAAAAGGAAGCTCAAGTATCAAGGCATCAAGTTATAAGAGGGCAAAAAGAAGCTCGGTCACTAAGGAATCAAGACATAAGTATCAATGACGAAGTCACAATCACCGGGCCATGTGATATTACGAACAAACGTTTAGCAATCTTAAGTACAAGTCTGTTGCAGATCAAAGAGACAATGGACTTAACGAAAAGTATTGAAACGTTACAGTTCAAATTGGAAAAATTGAAGAATTGTTGGGTAAAGATCTCACAATTAAACGATGAATGTCTGTTTAACAATGATGAAATAGACCAAAGAGATTTCATTCAACTGGAATCGATATACGAAGAAGTGTATATCCAGTTACAAGAAGAACTGAACGTTCGCAGTCAAAACGTTTCAGAAACTAGAACAACCGTAAGTAACAATATCAAACTACCACCGTTGAATGTACCAATATTCAGCGGCAGATTTGAAGAGTGGTGTCCATTTTGTGAATTGTTCGACCGGTTAGTTCAACAAAACCATAATCTAGTGGATGTAGAAAGGATGCAGTACTTAAAAGGAAGTCTACGTGGAGAAGCCGCCAGACTTATCAATCATTTAACAATAACAGCGAACAATTATACAGCGGCAGTTGAACTACTGAAACAAAGATACAACAATCCAGCAATACTTGTGGACAATCTTATCAATAAGTTATTGTCGCTCAGAGCTATAAGAAATGAGAATGCACAGGATTTAAAAACATTAGTGGATTCTTCTAGAGAAGTGTTATATGGTATACGTAATTTAAATGTGGATACGTCAAGTTGGGATCCACTAATTATACAGACACTGCTTCCAAAATTAGATGGTGAAACCAGAAAATTATACCAACATTCAAGAGGTGCATCAACACAAATACCGAAATTGAGCAGCTTATACGAGTTTATCGAGAGCAGAGTTAGAGGATTGGAGGCAATTCGTGACACAAATCGCGAAAATAAGAATAATTTTCGACCAACAGCAGTAAATACAAAAACGCATGTAAATACAATACATACGCTATGTTTAGTGTGTAATGGTGACCACCAATTAATTCGATGTTCAAAGTTTCTGAATATGAAGGTGCCGGAACGTCGTGAAAAGATTATGAGCGCCAAATTATGTTTTAATTGCCTTCAGAGTGGGCATTTTAGTAAGTTGTGCTTGAATAAAAAAAGATGTGCAATTTGCGACAAAAAACACCATCAACTTATTCATGAACAAGTTAAGGGCAAACCAACATTCACAAATAACATAAGTAAACAGAGGATGCCAACATTGAAGAACACCACAGAGACCGAAGTGGCAGCGTCGTACAACATCCAAAAGGAAAAAACTGTTTTACTAGCAACAGCAATGGTAATTATAAGGACTAAAAAACAAGTTAATCCGATACGAGCTTCTTGATCAAGGATCACAATCTTGTATAATAACAGAACAATTAGCAAGATCAATCAGAGCACCATTGACCAATTATCAAACTCATGTAAAAGGTATCAATGGACAAACAACAAGCGTTATAGCCAAATGTTCATTAGAAATTCAATCTATACATGATGAAAATAAGAGCTGTCATATCGAAGCAATAGTGTTACCAAAAATCACATCAAAAATGCCAAATGCAGAATTCACGCCAGGAAAATGGTCGCATATTGCAGTTAGCAGATCCTTGGTATGCTGAACCAAAGGAAATACAATGTACAAATACAATACAAAGTAGAAGAAAGGCATTGTGAGCGACATTATGATTCAACTTGCACCCACGATAAAACAGGACGATACATCGTTAGGTTACCACTGAAAAATGATCGAAAAACGTTAGGTGAATCCAGAAAGATGGCATTAAAACGGTTCTTTTCATTGGAAAAACGATTTAAGAAGAATCCAGCACTAAAGCAAGAGTATGTGAACTTTATGCGAGAGTATATCAAGCTGGGTCACATGAAGGAAGTTAATGAGAAACCAAAGACAAAGGTATATTATTTGCCGAATTATGCAGTTATTAAAGAAGACAGCACGACAACAACACTTCGAGTGGTGTTTGATGCGTCCGCAAAAACGACATCAGGACAATCACTGAACAGTATTATGATGACAGGTCCTACATTACAAAAGGATTTATTCATTCTATTATTGCAGTGGAGAATGTTTAAAATAGTTTTTACGGCTGACATTGAAAAAATGTATCGGCAAATACTGATTCATCATGATGATAGAGATCTTCAACGAATTTTATGGAGAAACGATCAGAAAAAACCAATAAAAGAATACAAATTGAACACGATTACATATGGTACTGTATCAGCACCATATCTTGCCATCAAGACGTTGTTTAAGCTAGCAGAAGACGAGAGAATTAATTATCCTTTGGCAAGTGAAACCTTAAATGAAAAATTTTATGTAGACGATTGTTTGGGAGGCGCTAATACGATTAAAGAGTGTAAACAAGTACAAGAAGAATTAATCCAATTATTGCGGAAGGGAGGTTTTAATTTAAGAAAATGGGCATCAAACGAACCCGAAATGTTGACGAATATCCAGATAAAAGACATTGAACCAGGGTTAGAGATGCAATTTAACAACGACCAAGCAATTAAAATTTTAGGAATAAAATGGTGTCCTAAATTGGATCAGTTTGAATTTAAAATAAATACCACGTCATTCAGCTCAAAATACACAAAAAGAGCAATTTTAAGTGATGCTGGAAAACTATTCGATCCATTTGGTTGGTTGTCACCTGTAACCATTAAAGCAAAAATTATGATACAAAAATTGTGGATGCTAGGAATTAGTTGGG